ATGCAATTTGACTTTCATTTACCATTGATTTAACTGATCTTCTATGAATTACGTATTCGTCATTATATTTCTTCTTTTTCGACGTACCTAGGTAATTTTGCCATATTAAATAAGCAGATGATTTCTTCTCTACTACCTTCAATATATCATCAGTCATCCATTCTTTTCTCTTGTTGTTGATATTGTTGTCTATTTTAAAATGCATTTGTGCAGCTTCTTTAATACATTGTGCAAAAGTGAAGCTTTTTTAATTAATATTAGCATCATTATCATCATCTGTTTTATCTTCAAAAACTCCTTCAATATCATTTTGAAAGTGATTAACTATATTTTCATCTTGTAAGTTGAAACGATCTAAATGTAACTGATTTTGTTGGAACTTTCTTCTTCGTAATTTCAAATGCAATTTAATTTTAGATCGCATAAGGTGATGTCAGTTCCAATACTTCCAGCAGCTCTTCATCAATACTTCATTTGAAATTTCTTGTTCACTAATGCATTGTCTTATGTTGAAAAAAGTGTTTGAAATAACTATACCATTTGCTAAACAAAAATCGGCGAGTCTAATGCCATTTTCATTTTTAACATCAGCTGCATGGGGTGTGGCCATCTGGGGTATAATTAAATGTTCTTGTTTACCAACACAAGCATTAAAATCTCTCATTAAAATAGTCATATCACCTTTTGGCACCTTATCAGTCCTCTCTTGTAATTGTAAATAAAATTGATCACATTTATCCATCATAGATGTGTTCTATCGATTAATTGGAGCATAAAGAGCAATAGAAGTCACATTTATTGGTGCACAATACATTTGAATCTTAATAATTCTTTCATTAACTGCCTCTCGTTCTGAACCTGATGACTTTCAAATATTCGTTGTTGGCTTGTTTAAACAAATCGCTACACCACGTGCTGATCTTGTTTTATTAACTTTCGGAAGTCCGGAATATATCATTGCAAAATCACCTATTAATTTTATTCCTGGCTCATATATACCTGTTTAACATAATGCAGCCACTTTTATCTTGTACCTCTTTAAGTGTTTGATAATTAGTTGTTGTTTATGGTAATAAAAATAGGAAATTTAACGTCTTATCGACTGGTGGCTACTGGCAGCTCAAAGTAGCCTACGCACTACTTTTGAGACAGACATATATCCCGGTGGAAGTTTTAAAACCTCCCCGGCAGACTCGAATTTAAAGAGAAGCTTGCACTAAAGTGAGAAATTAAGATATTACATGGTGACAATGATATAGAATGACACGGCTTATGCAGCTGATTACTATGTAAACTGAAGTATTGAGATCGATATACAGTGCGTTCAATTTTCGTTGGTTCTATTTAGAAAATCTTGAAAAGATTCTGCCAAGAAACTCGTAATATCTTCGAGGAAACCTGATCAAATCCTGAAAGGGATGACGAGAATTTTTTTCTAATTTGGAATCATTCAAATACAGACAGCATTCTACAATTCTGTACCGACGCATGTTTTTCAGGATTTAGCTGTTTCCTCAGGAGAAAACAGCGAATGCTTGTAGGCAGTGATCATAGCCCTCACGAATCTGATGCTGAAACATTATAAAAGTTCCATAGGGCTATGCATGTTTTTATAATAATTGTTATCAACGTTAATATTCTTGATAATAATGATTATCCTCATGTAGGCTCTGTCAAGTTTTATTATTTGTTTTAAACTTATTTGTGTTGAATTCGTTGGTTGAAAACTCATTAGTTGACTAGTATGTTCAAGATGATATTCTCGGACATTAGTTGTTTTTCTTTTGACTTTTATTAATAAACAGCCAAAAAAGTACTAATGGAATAAAGCTACATGAATTGCTGATAAATACGGAAAACAATAAATAATATTCTATGTTAAATATTTGAATGTACTGAATAATAGAACGAAATTCGATGGAAGATAAACTTTTTAATATATCATGAAGTAACATATTGTTCGGTAAATGTAATTAGAAGCCCAGAAGCAGGTGCTCTATTTTTGGTCATAGTGTTTATATTCTTTCAAGCTATCTATCTATCTATTGTCACCGTACATTAATGGACAGAAAAAATCAAAACCGATGATGAGTGAGATTCGACTTATTCGTGATCACCGAATATAGATGTGTATGCTTTCTACACCACATAAAACTAGCACTGAGTGAATCTGATTTCCAGTAGGATATAAAGTAAAGGTAAGGACCTATATCACAAGGATCGGGTCTGAAGCCCAAACTGTTATGAAGATGAGACCTTGACTAGGATGAGATCTGCAATCCAGCAACATGCTAACGGAGAAATATTTTTAACTAATACGTGTCGTTCGAGCTCATGCATTATTGATAGTTGAGATTGATCATGCATATAAATTATCTAAAAGAATTCACACCATTCCCGTTTGGTTTCAGAATTAGGAATGGAACAAGTATTACGATGGTTGGCACTAGCTTCTTTGCGTTATTTGTTTATCAGCTCTTATTTTAAGTAGGAATTTTTTTTTCCTTTTAAAATCTGATTACTAAATTATCTTGTTGATGGCTACTCATCCTTAATTTCTCAGCTGAATATGAATTGGCTTTGAGACGACAGAAAACAGGAGTTCTTCTAATGATTCTTCTATCAAAAACACATGACACGCTGCGGATTTTTTTCAGAAAATAATAAAATATTACTCTTTATGCTGCATAACACAGAACCCTTTGATTGTATCCCACTCAACTTTTGAATTTTTTATTTGAGTGTCTAAGCTCTGTTTCATGCATTTTTCAAAAATATCATTTCTGAAGGGAAAAGCACTATAACTGTTTTCTTATTTCGATTTTCTTTCTTCTAGAAGAAATTAAAGGAAACTGTAGAAATCTTCCTTCGGCTTGTGGTTAAAAAGAATAAAAGTAATTATCAAAACAAAACGAATACGAAATTGTCTCTTTCTCGGACGCAAAGTCAGATTCAACTGAGGATTTAAGGGGAAATTGTCACAAAAAAAATAAGTTAATGATCAAATTTTCAGTACACAGATGCATTTCCTAGTTAAAATATGAAAAGAAAAATTAGTGACACAGGGAAGGTGGCACTACCTTCCATAATACTTGCTCTTCTTATCGCTCTGAAACGAAGCAGCAATGGCACGGACTCTTTTGGATAATTTTTGTAAACATGATGAACTTCAACCACCAACAACGCATGGATGGCAAGCGGTACTTATCAATTGCGACTGTTCACTTGTAAGATCGAATTCGAGCATAAAAGGATCGTAAGCGGCTTAAACGATTCTTACAGAAACTTGGAGAGCTATCGGGTACAGTTCTAAAAGCTGAACTGTACGGAAGTCTAGGCAAAGTAGTTGTCTCAAAGCACGTCTGCCACTCTAATTGAGAAGATGATGGAGCTCGGAGTACAATCTGAAGCCGAGATCTTCAAGCTGAGGACAAAGATTGACCGTAACTGCTGTAAAAATGAGTACTGGCCCATGAAAAACTTTAGGATGGTACAGAACAACGAGTGAAAGCCGGACGAGAAGTTAGGCTTGACAGCAGAGTCCGCGCTAAACACAACCGGTCCGATAGATCTTCATATTAAGGTTGAAGTTGAGAACATAACTGAATCTGTGGCCGAGAGTGTAAATTATGTCGGAAGCTGGCTTCCCACCGAGATGAATAGCTGAATGACGATTTGAACTGCGACTTAAATGAAAATCACGACTTGAAAAGTAATCTTAATCAAAGCAAGGATACACACAACGATGGTAGCCGAAGCACCTGCTGAAAGTGAGTCCCTGGTTTCTATGGGGATCGGAGACGATCCTAAGTCGAAGACTTCATTGAAACGCCCATCTTTGACGAGGAACATGGCCATGAGCATAAAATACCCCCAAAAGTGATATTAAAAACCAATATCTTCTGTCATAGATGGAAGGGACCTTTGAGCTTGGTTTTGACAGGATCAATGGTATCAAGCAGCATACTATTGCTTGTGAAACCTATATATTTTGTCTATCCTGTGCAACGATAGGAAGAAAAACAAATAAAGCCGTGGTATAATGCACATTTTTTCAATCATCGATTAACTCTCTCTCTCTCTTCGTCAATTAAGCTGTTTGATCGATAAGTGATAGAACAAGCAAAAGAATGAAAATATTTGTATGAGGAAAAAACCCAGTGTCTCAATAATATATGATCATGCTTTATCCGACGTATACGTTTGAATGCACACAAGCCAAACATTTTTTCGATATACACATAAGCAAAATAATGCTTTCATTTTCGTTATTAAACAACGTCGATACATTACCAACGTATTATACTTGTCGTCACAAAAATTATCGTATCAATACAAGAAGCAAACGTAAGACTTCTGAAATTGCAGTATCTTTCTAAAGTCCTTTTACTCTATCAGAATGCAGAAGATTTTTCTATCTTTAAGTAATACCACTAAGGAGACAACGCTCCCTTTACATTCATATTAAACCCATGCATAGTCGACTATTAGATTAGAATAATTATCAAAGAAATCTTGCTCTTGTTGAAATTCGTGCGAAGCTTCTAGTTTTAGTGGATTTTTCATATAGGAAGTTAGTTTTCAAGTAAAATCGTATCTCAAATTTCGATCTAAACCTGTCTCAACAGTAAAGCCTTGCTATGACTTGTCCATATATCAAGTTTCAACATTGGCGAAGTTAGTATCAGATGCAAGCTATTGTTGCTCTGAAAAAAATAAAGGAGGCTTGAAGAAACATTCAGGTTTCTTAAAAGTCCTACCTTTCACCCGATAGCAGAAACTCTGAAAAACGATTCGGGACAAGCAAAAAATCTTTTGTCAAGAGATTTAGAGCTATTTTTTCTTGCATGAAGCCCTTTTCAGGAGTTTTGCTTTATGGTAAAACTCAGAACCAGCTAGAGGCCTAAAAGGTTCTGCAAGTCTCCTATTTTTCACAGTGCCCATATTCGCTCAGGGAGCGTTTCAGATGTTCTCATTTGTGTTCCACGTAGCATTTGACATGTTCTATCAAATGGTGAGAATCAGATTTATGTTGTCTCCTACCGGTACTTTTAAATCGCAAAATAATGTGTTCTCCGTTCAGGCTATAGAGAACTTCTGAAGTACTCCCAGCCATCATTCGCTCACGACTTATCGCATGTCTTTTTCTCGGTTTTACTAAAAAGATCAGGTACAATTAACCTTTGGCCATAAGCGAGAAAATCTGAAGCAGTTGCTGGTTCAATCAGAGCAGGAACTACTACTTGTATTGTACATGTTTCATTGAGAATATATCCTATTCCGCGATGTTGAACATTGCGGAATCAGTTCCACCCAATTCCGGGAACTCGATCATCATTCAATATAAACCCCTCCCTATAATAGAAGCCACTCCCATATTAGAAGCTCCCCTTATTAGAAGCCCCCTCACTTTTAAAAACTTTTTGAAAAATTTTTTTTTGAATTTTCATCATAAAACTTTCAAAATTCAACATCTTAAGATAAGAATTTGCTTGATTTTCTTATTTATCAGCATAAAAATCTTGAAACCTCTTAGAAAGTCGTTTGAACAACTCTTAAAAATTCTGAAAATCTCTAAAACCCTTTGAAATTGTTCCATCGAGTAATAATAACAATGATTTTACAGGAGTATATAACGTTACTGTTTAAATTTGGTAGAAAGAAACAAAAGTTATTTTCAAACTTTTTGTTTTCTTTTATTTCATATCGACGTTTCGATGTATAAGTCTTCATTACCGAGATATA